AACATTGGGGGGGGGGGCTTGTTTTTACAACGTTGTTGCCAAGCGACGAAAACCCAACCCCGATGGCAAACACCGCGGGGGGGGAAACATTGGGGGGGGGGGCTTGTTTTTACAACGTTGTTGCCAAGCGACGAAAACCCAACCCCGACGGCAAACACCGGAGGAGAGGGGGATGGGGGGGGTGTTGCTGGCATGGTGCCATCTTTCGTGTGGACGGATCTCGTCACCACACGCTGGTTCAAGGCGTTCCAGCTCTGTAGCTTCGAAACTCCTCGCTTGCTCATTGGCTTAGTCCCACTTGCACCCTGTCTTTGTGCATCGAGGTGTATGTGTCGTACTCTGAAAACCGCTATTCTCACTCTTGTCAATCGTGCTATCATTACTTGCCTTTCGCGGCCACTTTTATTGCGTACTCCAGTCAATTCCAATGGCCAAACGACGTCCCCATTGTGTCTACCCCTTCCCCCTCCTGTGTCCGAAAAGATACCGACTGAGCCTCTGAGTCAGTTTTTGACCCCAAGACGCGGTGGAAACAGGATAACGTATGGTCCAGACTCTGACGGCGGGGACGATGGCGAGACGTACGCGTACCAGAACCCCAGAAAAGGCAAGTCCGCCGCGGTGGGACCGCCGAGGGCCAAGGCGAAGACGGCCACCGCCGCCGCTGCCGCTGCCGCTGCCGTCACCACCACCGTCGCCCCCGCCACCGCCGTTGCAGCAACAGCAACTTCCCCTGAGGGTTCCCGGGCGGCGCAGGAGAAACGGCAGCACGGAGCCGGGGCCGCGGCCGTCGCCCCTGTGCCCACCCCCGTAGCCAGGCTCCTCCCGGGAGCCGCCCCGTCAAGACGCCACGGAGAAGAAAAGTGAGTAGAGGCCTGGGTGGAGGGGATGATGTTGAATCTGGGGCCTTCTGCTTGATTTTCCATGGTGATTTACATATGGATCTTTCGCGCGGGGTTCCATGATGACAAGGTTTCCGATAAGTGGCTTGTGTGTGTGGGCAAAACCCCACCAAAGTATCGAGAAATCGTTCCAGTTCATTTTCGGAGGTGCGGCCAGCGGAAGAGGAATGTGAAGGGCGTCGGGTTTGGTGCCTGGGCGTGGATGAATCGACTGTTTGCAGCGCTATGGGAAGTCAACTTTCCAAGTTTTTGGGCCCTACTCACTTCCAAAACTTCTGGAAGCATTTCCAACGTTTTCAATGACTTCCAATATCGTGGAAATTCCAAATTGGGCACAATCAGCCTTATTTTTACAATGGCCCTTAGCGGCTTCAGCATTTTATTCGTGAGCCATGAACCCTATAACCGCCGTTGCTGCCAACGCATGGTGCGCAGGAGGAGCCATGAACGCAACCACAGTTACGACTCCAGCAGCAGCGCCGATGGCGAAGAGGAAAAGAAGAGGGATGATCACGGGTGTGGAGGAATCATGGCAGACATGAGGCCGGTGTCTGCTGGAGCAGGCGACGAAAACGACGGCAGCGACTTTTACCAGAAGTTGGGTGCCCAGACCCCTGCCGCACAATACGGAGGCGGCGGCGGCGGCGGTGGCGGTATCTTTGCAACATCACGAACGTCACCAACACCGACAGGTGCTGCTCCCCCCTTGGATCCCACTCGGTTTCTCGCTGGTACCTCGTTGGTACAGGCAACGGCGGCTTCGAGGTACTTTCCACACGGTGACGGCGGCAGCTTCCAGGTACCGCAGTCCCCGAAAACGCCTGAATTGCCCGGCGGCAACGACAACGGCAACGCCGAGAAATCACTGCGGCTCGACGGTCAGACCAACATATTGACGTCCCCAAAGCCAGCCGACGTGCCCACCTCCAGCGGCGTAGAAGAGCGAACGGTCGTTCCGTCTTCGTCTGGCTTGACCTCCAATCCTTGCCTCTTGTCCCAGCAAACCCCTGTCGCATCGCCACGTGGCGGGTTGCCACCCACGTACCAGGAACACACCGACGCGGTTGGAAACGCGGCACGCAGTGGCAGCCCGGCGTCTGAGGGGCACTCGGCGAGCGGGGACTCGTCCGTTGGCGACACGACCGGCCTCGTGGCGTCGCTTGCCAACGCCCTCCTCGCCCGCGCGAACGCCGGGGACGGCGCGTCTCCCACCAACGGCAGCGAGAACCAGCAGCAGGAAGAGGAAGCAGGGAAGAACGACCCTTCTTCTACTCCCGCCGTTTTGTTGAAAGGGTTGATGACACAGACGCCGCCGGGCGGGGTCTCTCCGGCGCGCCCTGAAAGAAAAACACTGCAACGCCAGCCAAGCGGGTCTGCCGCTTATCCGCGGAGCGGGAGCGACCTGTCTCCTGTACCGTTCGCCCGCGGCACTCTCTTCCAAGTGGCAGATTTCCCGGAGGAGGAGGAGGAGGAGACACCGTCTCCATTGCCGGTGGTTGAGGCAACAGCGAAATCCTTGCCCCAGGTGGAGATGAGCACGGCCGTAGAGGGGTCGCGAATGTTGCTAGGCCAGACGCCGATCACGTTATCGAACGCGGACGCGACGCGGCTGTACGAGTCAAATATTTCCACTGACACTGTGCCAATAACTGCAGCAGAAGCAGCAGGAGCTCCAGATGGGGGAGCCGGGGACGAAGAGAAAACGTCTGACATTACGTCCGGGCGGAAAGCTAGTACCTCGGAGCAGCAGCCAGTTGTCGAGGACGGAGCGCCCTCACCCGTTGTGGAGCCTGCCGACCAAGCACGCGCATCGCCTCCTTACATCCCACTCAACACGACACTGACGAACGGGGTGGAGGAACCGGCGGTGGTTGCTGGGGGTACCCCCTCCGATGGCCCCAACAGCGACGATGCTACCACTACCGCAAGCGCCACAGCAGCAGCCCCGCGTCCCAGCACCAAACCGCAGAGCAGATTCTCGCGCTTCGTTGAGAAGGCGTTGTCGACGGACGTTGCCGCTCCGGCCGAGGCGCTGCCTACGCCAGCCGCCGAAGCGGCGACGGCAGAGGGTGGAAGTGACGGGATCAACGGGACAAGTGGCGATCCGGCCGCAGCAGGAGAACGAAAAACGGGAACAGAAACAGGAGCACACCCGCGTGCAGAATAAAGTGGCGCTCTGCCCTCGTGCAGCGTGCTGCTCGGGATGCCCGAAGATAGCATGGCATTGTACCTTCCGTTTCTTCAAAGCACACTCGGGATGCGCCAACATGTCGAATCACCTACGTGTTCACTATCACGATTTCAAGCGTAGGGAGATATTTTCCAGTGTCAGACAGTACGCGTCCCGTGACGTCAGCGCGGGGACGGTGAGTTCACCACAAGGAGAGAAAGAAAGGCAGATGATAAACAACGTGATTCCATATTTGGAAAGGCACGAAAGAAAGACAACACATAAACGTGAGCGTGCTTGTGATATGTGTTGTGTTTCAAGCGAGAGAGAAAGGAGAGAGGGGGGGGGGGGGGGGAGCGAGCCAACGACAGACAAGCAGACATAGCAAGCTTGAGGTTAACCCCTATGGATGACCATCCCGGTTCGAGACGGCATCCGTCAGGGACCGAGGTCATCTTGAAAGATTATGACTACGACGCTGCACCGTATGTGCTCTAATTCTTCTTATGTTGCTGATGGCACGTTGTCCAACCTGGAAAACTAGTCGTTGCTTGTTCGGTGGGGGATAAGGACCACGTGGCAGTTCAACCTTGCCATACGAATCTTCGATGGTATTCTGCTGGTACCTTCGGTTTATGGGGCATGACACCAGGAAAGCCAGATTTCAAACGGGATGGAGACTGAACACATATGGAACGTGTGGCGTAGAACGTGTGGCGTGCAGCTTGAGAGTTTGTCGTACTGTACAGATGACGAGGGCTACATGTTCAAGGTTCTAGAAATACGAAGACAAAACATGTGTTAATGGAACGTGTTTTTGTTCCGCCACTGGAGGCGGAAGCTGCTGAACCTCACGGAGGTGTCATGAGTTGCTGTTCCCTACGGAACCATGCTTGAGGATCCATGAGATTTGCACTCATGTACATAGCTCGAGATCACAATGGCAGCCCCAAGAACAAATGCACAAAAAAAAGAAAAAAAATTCGGCGAACCGGACCATCTTTGCTGCTCAACTGCTGTACGGATGGCAACACAGACAAAGTCCGATCTTGTCCGCCACAAGAATCATTTTTTGCGACATTAAACCTTGCCCTAGGTGCCATGGAATTCGCACTGTAGCTTGATGTCAGCATTTGGGATGGGGTAGGGTCGGGTGTGGGCATGGGAATGAGGTCCGGATATTGGCCTGAGACTTCACGAAAAGCTTAGAACAACCTGTATGTTCAAGTAATCGTGACGTTCTCGCTTGTAATTCGCTGATGCGCATGTGACCGCAGAGTGCAAAGGGTCTCACGTCAGTGCTCAAGGAGCTTATTGAGTGTAGCAGGAGACCGACATGCCAGAATACCAACACCTTCGGTGTGCCAAAAACAATTAAAGACCATGGAGTGTGTGAAGTGTTTTCGTCCTGTTTTATCATGGCGACAGTCCCCCCATTTATCGTGGTGAGACGTATACTACACGTGTTTCAGCGTATGTAGAGTGCTACACTCTTCAGTGTATTTTTCTGTACAACTACAACCGTACAGGGTCAAAGGAGGGGGTAAATACCGGGACTTTTTTCTTCTTTGTTTTTTGTTTCGTGCCCCACCTTTCCCCTGAGGTGCGTGGAGTACGAGCAAAATATCTGCGTTGCGTTATCGACATAGGATAGATTGCGCATGCAAACATCCTTCGTAGTCCTAATCAGATTTCACGCGGCAAACAAAGGAAGGTATCACTTTTATGAGATAGGAATCGAACGGTTATTGTCCGGCACTAGCACGCTAGCCGTTGCAACCATCATGGAAGCAAACGGTACTCCTGGAGGGGCAGCCAAAATGTACTCCCCAGTGGAGGAGGCAAAACTGTTCGGTGGGATGATCAAGAACAAGAAAACGCTACACAGTGTAATCGGCACCACGAGGGTTTCACGATATGGGGCAGCGGGGGGGGGGG